TTCCTCAATTCCTTCTTTAATGGCTTTTATTACTGCACGCAGACGATACACCAAGAAATAAAATGACGTCAGAACTCCTGAAATTTAGGTTTGTTCTCTAATTAAGTTTCGAAGAATATTTCAATCTGTTAAATTCGAGTTTTCACAAATTTTTCGACCAGAATAGAAAAAGTCAATTTTGGCGTCAATTCAATTGTCTTAAATTGTCTTTTTTTTAAATACCCCGTAACGTGTCATGTTCAAATAAATAAAGCAAGTTTATCATCACATTCATTAAAAACGTATTCCAAACTTTTTTAGAAAATGCACAAAATTTACTATAGTTTCATCATCAAACATTCGTTCTTTTTCATGTAAAATCCTTAACACAAAGCTTTCCGATTAATTGTCAAGTACTGAAAATTCCATTGCACATCTAAATCCCCAGCTGCGTTAGCTATTTCTGCTTTTGTACAATTAATGCGATTATGAAATAAATCAATTCTTTTGAAAATTCTAAACGTCTCATCCTTTTAACATCTCAATCCAATACATGCAAAATCGACATAAAAACACAGGTAAATTCAAAAAGAGATATAGAACAAAAACACGGAATTTGCTACAGAATTGATCTGTATAAGGCAAGTCAGCTTTCATCTTTATCTAGAAAGGTTGTTACTTTTTGTCTTAGAAAACTTATTTAAAATACAATTTTACACAATTGATTCGCTTTCTCTATTGACAAGACGAAAGCAATTGATGCCACGGATTCACGCTTAACAATTCGCTACATTAAACATCCGGCATGAGGGTATTATTGATCTACCGGAATCAAACAATTTCAGTACGATTTTAATATTATACACTTGTGAATCAATACATTAAGGCAAGTAACAGTCTCAGTAAAATGTTCTTATTTAAGTTTCTTCAAAATGCGGTTACATACAAAACTACTTCATGTTACAATATTTGTCTTGGAAATTATAAAAAAAAAGAATCCGTTTGATAGAAAAAATTAACAAGTTTAAACCATACGCCGTCCACACAATTCACACATTTTGGTGAACATATTAAGACAGACGATGCTAGTACATTCATTGTACTGATATATTTAGAATTTATTGAACTGGGATCAAATCATTTGACTGTTGATTTGTTTGATCTGCCGGAAAATAATTCATGTGAGAAACTTTCAAAAGGCATAATCATGTGTAATAAATTATATTTTATACAATAGTTTTTGATCTTTTCATATTTAATGATTTCTCTTATTGATGTTTTTATAAGAAATGTCAGTTTTATTTTTTGTTCTAAGCAGTTTGTGATTTCCTTTTGTTATAATTAAATTAAATGACGTGTTTCACATGTATGTTTTTGGACTGTAGAGCTGGAAGTCAGCCAGAAATTAAACCGCTTTTATGCCATATAACACCAATTGAAGGTCGTTTTAACCAGATTCTTGTAACAGGGAGCCAGACTAGTAACATTTTGTAATTGTGCGACTTTGGGTATCTGTTTATACGCAATATGAAGATAATAATTGATGGAATGGTCAATTTTTCACTTTAATTACAGCCAGTGATTATTGTTAATATTTGTAGTGTTTCATTTGTTGGATTGGTATAAAATTTGAAAAATCTATACAAAGTAAATTCAGGAATTATTTCTCTAGGTATAAATAAACAAACAATCCTAGAAAAATATCAGTCCAACAGTGCATACCAATCTTTCATTATATGCATGAAATATCATCGTGTTTGAATCTGTATTGTTTTAAGGTAGACAAGTTGTATTATTGCATTTGTTTTTATTATTTTGCTATTGTATCATACATGTAACACTTCTTTTGTTAACTATGCCATCTAAATATATCTAATAAGTCAAAGACATTTTGTGAATAAACTTTCAGTAGTTTTTTTGAAATGTTATGTATGGGCTTGGTAATTGTTGAAGGTCAAACGGTAATCTATAGTTGTAAACATCCTTGTCCTTTTGGTCTTTGATAGATAGTTATCTCATTGGCAATGCTAGCAAATGCATGTATCCCTTTTTTAACAAGTAAAGCAAAACATATCTTCTTTTTTTATTATATGTGACCTTATATCCAAGTTAGGTTGCAATCCCAGGTGTAGTATTCGTTTAAGCATCAGGAAACCACTTTTCTGCACAAATTTTAGTCTCTTTGAAGAAACTACGACATTGACCTTTGAGTTATTGACCTCAAAATCAATAGAAATAATCCTCTCATTATACGTGAAATTAAGTTCGAGTAAAGTTGCAATCCTATATAAAGTATTCGAGTTAAGATCCGGAAACGAGATGACTGACGGGCTGACTGACTGATGGACAGACGGACGAGTAAATACTTATTTAACCCTGATACTTTGTAGTGTGGGGTATAATAAATTGCTTTACTAAATTACTTTACAATCTCTCCAATACACGAATATTATGAAATAAAAGAAAGTTATTCTTTTTCCTCAAGGAATTAAAGTATCGTGTCTGATAAAAGTATCATGTTATGGGAATATCTAAAAGTATGCTATTAAATGTCATACATTCTGTACTTGTATTTAGTTTCTAAAACCAATGCATCTTTCCTTAATTGTACTTGTTGGAGGTCTAATGTATCATCAGATTAAGAAATGAATAATGTAAAACATCATTCCTTGTTTGCACAACTAACATACACTTGTGTACCGTACTACAACCGTTTCAGCCAATACAACTTGTTGCATTGAAATGTTTAATTAATATATACATATAGCTACACGTATTTTCAAATATGAAATTAATAATTATTTGACGTTCTGACCAGGGTAAATTTTCAAAATTTTGACAGGATTTTAGTCAAGTCTTTAAGTTATATTTCCACTTTCAATATTATACTGTTTGAATACTAGTATTCAAGCTCTAAGCAATTACAACATGTATTTACAAGTACACATAGACCAGCGAAATAGGCTTTTTTACCGTCTAAAAGGAAAAGAGATCGATTATTCATCTTTCGATTTTGGCACCTTTTGCCAAATAAAACATCCTTTTGAAATTCGCTGATTCCGCCATACAATTTCTTATATTACTATCATTAATTTCATATGTCATAATATTTCATTATTTCATTATGACATTATACAAAGATTTATAAATGTAGCCTATATTTGGTATGAAAGTTAAGCCGTGTTAAATAAAAGCATCATTTTGATTTCAGGCCACGATTAACATTAAACGTAATTCTGCTTAAACATACTATTAGTAACTTCGATTACTATGAATGTAACGAATTACAAACTAAAACCTTTAAGAAGACAACGCATTTTAATAGACGTTTCTGATAAAAGGAAGAGAACTCTAACTTTAATAATAACCATTGATTCATTCCAAAACTATTATACCTTTATTTTGATAGGTTTAGCAAAAAAAACGGTAGTTAATTGGAATTTCTCTATAATATCAGGTCGGCATGACTTTTACATGAATCAAGAAATCTGAATCCTATTCTATAATATAAAAAAAAAGATCACTGAAACTGAAATGTCTCGACTGCTTTACAGATTACGATCGATTTTTCATTGAAAATCTTTAAACGAGAGGTGGAAGATAGCAAAGGGAGTTTAAACTCAGAAGATGAAGATAAATGGACAACGCATGGTAAAATAAAAACAAAAACGACGAGAAAATAAACAACAGTCTACCAAAAAACAAAACATAGAAGGCTTAGGACTGAGCAACACGAAACCCACAAAAACCGAAGTGATAAAGCTCTACTACATGTATCACTCAAACTGAACATTATCAATGATTATGAAAATTGGGTCAAGGTCAGATGAACGTGCGTCTGGCTTTTAAAATTTCAAGCCTGGTACATGTATCTAATGGACAGATTCACCTTGCAATCAATATGTAAACCGAATGTAGTTGACATTTTACTTATAGTCTCTGTGACACGACGGACCTTATCATGAAAATTTAACGTTGACCAATAAACAATGAAAAATGAGGTACTTAATTGAACCCTATTGGACGAACATAAACACCTTGAAATCATTTTACACACCGAATATAACTAGTACCCTTTTACCCGTAATACATGAGCAACGGATATAATAGCGATTATTCAACGTTTAACAAACAACTATGAAAGTGGGGTCAAGGTCATATGAAACCTATAGTCAAATGTACATGTAACACCTAATACAATAATTTTATATACAGAATATAATCGACTTTTTAGTTATAGTATTTTAGAAAAGGACTTGATCACTGAACCGTAGAGTCAAGGTCGGATGAATCCTGTATGGTGGACATCTATGCCTTTATATATATGTAAATATTGTATTCCTCTTAATTGTTACACGTATGCAATGTGTCTGAGTTGAAGTTGTATACTTTTATATATCTATTGATCATACTTACCGCATTCTTGTCGAGACTAAAACAATTGCACCACACCCGATTTTTCAAGTGTGAATTGTCTCCACCATCAAAATGCATGTGCATTTATATGGTGCACATGTGAATTATACGCATAGTAGTAAATGAAAGATTTCGGAAGTTTATATGTAAGACGCGTAAACACATTTGGCGAACAATTTGTTGATTGTTTTAACTACTTCTTCAATTTGCCTCATAAACAAAAGATTAATGAAATCAAAGAGTTTTTTAACGATGATAATAATGTTCTTTGTAGAAAAATGTTCGTAATTATTTGCATGTGTCAGTGTTTATGCTCATTCATTACTATGATTTATATTGGGAAATAATTTATACAATGTGTGCAATGCATTCGTGAAATTTAAAAAATAAAATAAATCAAGGAGATGTGGTATGATTGTGTCCAGTATTCAGAAAATCTACCAAAACTTATCACATTTAAATTAATACAGTTGTTGGAATTTTTTTCTGCAAATGAAAAACAATCGACAGTACTCTTTTCTACAACATTCATAAACCTTATGTATTGTTTCATATGTAGAACAGAGATTGCATGTAAAAAGTAATACTATTGTGAAAAAACTTACCACAAGATTCAAAATTATAAAACTGAAATTAGCTGCCAAACGGTACACATGCATGTAGGTGGAAATATTTCCATAATGGTTCTATCGATCTGAAGAAGAAAAAAATGAAAACACAAACATGTAACTAATAATTTATAGTAGTAACATATTTGTAATCTATTTTATTTAATTATTTATTTAGTCTTTTGAAGTATTAAATAATACAGAGAAAATGGAAATTCGCTGGTATAAATTAATACAAAACATATACAAGGTTGTAATGATACTCGACTTTTTACAAAAGACTCTTCACTGTCGGTGATGCATAGATTTGCATGTAAAAGATTGAGTTTGGTTAAAACAAAACAAAAAAATCTCAACGACATAAAGGATCAAATGATGTCTTAAAATGTTCTATATAATGTACAGAATCACTGGCTAGGAACCATTTCCTCCAACACAGTGATTTAACATTGAGCTTCGTGAGACAAGACAAGAAGTAATACTTATACAGATACAATGAATAATAATTAAAGTCAGGTCACAGAGTAACAGATCAAGTCATAGCATGGTAATTATTTCATAATGATTACTATATCAGTATTAGAACGCGCTATGCAATTTGATTTTTCAATAATGTCGTGTTCTGCAAATTAAAATCAGCAGAAAAATTATTTTATACACAGCAGGGCGGAGAAAATCGGAAGTTTGATACAAGATTTTAGTTTTATATTAATTACAATTTAATGTTCAAAATCGAGTCTGTATTTGAATGTATTTAGATATGCGTCAAGGAATGTTTTGAACTGATGACGCAGGAGAATAAAATACCAACGATTTTCAAGTTCTGAAAATATGTATCCGAGGTTGAATGTTTCTGCTGTCCATATAGAAGAAACCCGCATATATTTCGTGTACTGTTATTTACATACGCGTCCATCCATTTATCAAGACCTAATAACATTAACTGTACCCATTTTACTGCACTAGATCCAGGTGCGCATCTTGATAATTAATGTCTCTTCAGTGATGATGGAGGCCAACATATTTGAAAGTGCTAAACCTTATACAAATGTTGAAGAGATGATGAACCAATAGGATCAAAACTAAAACCAGAATAGGACATGAATCTGAGCTATGCATGATGGAGATACATTTCTTAATTCAAAATGATTTCAAACATTTTATAACAGCAAATTTAAGTAAAGCAATATTCTGTCGTAGTTTCATGCCAATACCTAAGTAGTGGCTACTGGGCTGGTAATTACCCCTAGAACTACCAGGCATCGAGTTAGTTGTGTTTTCATGGTCAACATTTTTTCTTTATATGTATATGGAATATTTGTATATATTTAACCACTTAAACTATTTTTGCCGTTTCCGTAACTAAAAATATGTTATACAACAGCTTTATATATTGTAACTCAACTGAAACATAACCTTCAGGTATTGTGTTCGTTCATATAGTTAAATGTGTAATAACCATTACGTTTTCAAAACATCACGCCAAAGCATTTTTATTATATTGTATTGCATCTTTCATAAATCATTGATTTCAGCATTAATGAAATGTCATTGGGATAAGTAGAATGCTTTACCAAGCCACTGTTTTATTCTAAAATGTTCGCATCACTTCTTCCGGCAGTTGTAAAACTAAGTAAGCTTGATACATACAAAATGACGGCAAAATGTTGATAAACAACTCGACTGAATCTAATAAAGATCGATTTACTTTTAAAACAATACCGGGGGTCTATGATTTTTCTGCTTTCAATATCTTCATTATTCCATTAACGTCTTGTAAATTGTGCTTTATCAAATTTACCGGATCAAAGTAATTTTGACGTATACGTTAAAAGCAATTTTACTTTGATAATGGACAAAGTGGGAAATGCTGCGATACTGAACAAACGAGGTAAACGTACGGAAGTCACGTTATCTAAGAAGTCAAGATCCACGTGAGAATATCAAGAAAATAGTGTAATATGAAGTCGCCAAGATCTACTTAAAACAACTAGAAATGAATAATAAACAAAACCAAATGAAAAGACCTCAATGCTTTGAAATACTTTAATTTAAACGAAACTAGCCTATTGTGTGTGCTTTAAAATTGGGTCGACACTATGATGTCACTTCAGTGGCGCCACAGCCTAAATGCCTCATTAAGCATAATCTAATACTTATATATATAAAGGTAAATGTCTGTTAAAGGCCCCGACCCTTAGATTTCTAAGTAAATTCAGTTTATACGTCAGGACAACCTACTCTCTCCTTTATCAAGAAATATTAGACAATCAACCTAACGATTACGTAACAAAATGGCCTTTTAATGTTTGTTACGTCAAGTCGAGTAAATATATCTTCATTTTAAATAAGAAAATTAAATTAAATAAGTATTGATTAGTGAAATGTTAGAAACACTTTCTATTACAGAATGTAATTTGCGAGCAGGTTTGTTTTTAAAAGTTCGCAGTAAAATAAAACATAAACAAACGACAACATGTTCACATATGAAGAATATTAAGTTAAGTATAGCTAACATAGTAATTTAAAAGCAGAGGAGTATTTCCACAGAAAACCTTTTCTCTTAATACTTGAAAATATTATTTCAAGCATGAAGTTTTGGACTTTACCTAATAAATAAACAACGACCAATATGAATGTTTTTCAACATAACAACAAGCAACAATAATAGTAAAGATGTTGGTCACATGTTGTTGGTTGACTGAAAAACATCGTATACCCGTCTAATTAAAAAAATATAAAAGCAATATACCCATGCAATCAAAAGTCAATCGTCAGACATGTTACGTTCACAACCAAACAAAATACCAAAAGCAATGAAGAAAATGATTGCATTCTGAGATCAAATCTACTACTGTTCTGGAACGAAACATAATTGCAACAATTTATAATGACAGTATGACAAAACGTAAAAATAAAATGGAAACAGTTATTTATTTGATAGCCATCCATAAGGTAAGCAGATCAATATTACAAAAGTTGTACTAAAGAGAACATTTGAACATCAGGGTAAGAGTAAAAGGAACAATATCTCAAGTATTTAACAGTTTAAAGCAAATCATCTTACATGTACCTTAGGTCAAATATAGACACAAGAGATCAGGTTTGCTTAAACATCCGGTTCAAACATAATTAGTTAAAAATCAATAAATATGATTAAACTCGCCAGTTTTTCTCAGTATTATTGCTTAATTTTGTAGAACGCATCTGCTATTCTGTTTCATATACTACATGCCGGTATTTCCATATTGAAATTTTCATTGTTTGTCAATGTCGTTCTCTGAACATAATTATCCTGCTGTTTATTTTTAATTTTTGCTTATTAATTATTTAATCTAATTCTATGATGAAATTGTCCAATCGCAAATTTGAATTAAATGTTAATAGATTCATCAGCAATGTCACAGCAAGTCATTTTATTTAGAAATTTTGTCCTCACAGAATTTTACAGTGGGTCTAATCGGTGAAATTGGTCTAACTATGAAAACATCGATGGTAGAGATACATTTGCAGTAAATAAAAAATGTGAAGTTAAAAGAGGACTGATTGAAAATCACTTATTGACCTTTTGGAACTTCCCTACCGTACCACATGAAGTTTCCGCAAAATATATGTAACATATATAAAGCAAAAATTTCCGTTTACGACATGAAATAACGTGTCTCCGGAAAAATCTTAACTTTCATATTTAAGATATACATGTGTAGCTAATGAAGTGTATTACTGTGTCATACTGATACAGTTAATTGTCCGGAGAAGGTGGAACACGAATGATACTTACGAATGAATCCATTTATTTTTAATAAAAGATATGTTCAGACTCTTTCTTATTCTTTTCATGTCTTAAAAAAAATATGTGTTGTACAAAAAAAAAAAAAAAAAAATTTTATATGAACAATAGTTCCTTTGCAGTTCAATCAATCAGAGCCAATTACTAGTATTTTTATGTGTCAGTTCTTTTCAGAGTAATTGGATAACTGGTCTATTGGATAGACAGTCTTTCATTTAACCTTTGTACCTAGTCCATTTATTGATCATTATAATCACCTTTGCTCAATGTCAGACAGTTACATATACTAGATGCCGCGTATAACTTTTCCTTTTATGTTTTATTATTTTCATTTTTACACTATCGACTCTGAAAAAATGAGTGTAATTGTAACTTATTCTTTTAAAATGTATTCACTTCTGCAATGATGTATATTTATACATAAATGCACTTTTTTTGTTAAATAAAACCACAAGAAATTTCAATATGTCTTTTAATTATTTGTTCTGCTTAATGTATTTGAAAAAAGAGGAGAGGATACATGTAACTAGTTTCTCCTGTTAAAGTCCGTTGATGAGACATTTTAGGTAGGTAGACATTCCACAACACTTACTGATAGAGAGTTGATGCTCACAAGGAAGCACCTAAATAACGAAAGACGACAGAAAGACAAACACATCGACAAAACACTACATATAACCGTAAAGACTCACTCACAAGTCGAGGAGAGACTGGCAATGTCTTGGTAAAAAACGAAAGACGACAGAAAGACAAACAAATCGACAAAACATTACATAGAACACTAAAGACTCACTCACAAGTCGAGGAGAGTCTGACAATGACAGATAAAAAACGGAAGACGACAGAAAGACAAACACATCGACAAAACACTACATATAACCGTAAAGACTCACTCACAAGTCGAGGAGAGACTGACAATGACAGGTAAAAAACGAAAGACGACAGAAAGACAAACAAATCGACAAAACATTACATAGAACACTAAAGACTCACTCACAAGTCGAGGAGAGTCTGACAATGCCAGGTAAAAAACGAAAGACGACAGAAAGACAAACACATCGACAAAACACTACATATAACCATAAAGACTCACTCACAAGTCGAGGAGAGACTGACAATGTCAGGTAAAAAACGAAAGACGACGGAAAGACAAACACATCGACAAAACACTACATAGAACCATAAAGACTCACTCTCAAGTCGAGGAGAGACTGACAATGTCTTGGTAAAAAAACAAAAGACGACGGAAAGACTAACTAATTGACAAACCAAACACCTAAATAGAAAACAAAAGAC